AAAAAATCCGTAAGAAAAAAATTGCAGATTGACCGAGGAGTGATTTATATTAGAAACCGGGTCACAAGTTTGCCCGAGGCAACTTGTTAGCTGCTGCATCATACACATCGTATATATACTGGTATTATTTTGACAGTCATATTACGTGGAAATATTACACCGCTCTCCCCCTCTTACGCTCTTACCCCGCTCGTGGGGTGTTAAGAGTGATGGAACGCCCGGAAGCGTAAATTTACACAAAAGCGTAAGTTGCGTGAAAATACGCGTCGCGAGTCGCGAACGCTGATTTATCTCCCGGTTGTCGCGTAGTGTTACAAATTGTCCTACGGATCCTATGGGATATCGGCAAGAATGAGCGATGAGATGTGAAATTTTGTCTCGCGATGCCGCGCGCGACCGATCGCGATCTGATCCGCGGCACGACGACGAGCGGAAAAACAGGGGACGGCGGGGGCGGAGGGCGGCGACGGCTGGGAAGGGGGTGAAAAGAGCGAGCGCGTCGGCTGGGAAAATTCGCGGCGACGTGATGAGTAATTATCGTCCGTCAGCTGAAGTTGTGCGCGGTCGGGTGTATCGATTTAACCGGGTAGGTAGGGAAAAGAAGCCGCGGCACGACCACAAAGGCCGCGAGGAGAGTGGGAACCCGCGGTGTCCGGGTTTCGCGGCATTTTTTCACGCGTTCCACGTAGACAAAAAAATGTGGAACACAAACTTTCCACCGTAAGCATCGCCCGCCGGCCGCCCGCGGTCGATGCCGGGCCGAGCAATGGTGCTCGTTTATAGTTTCTTTAGTTTCTTCAAAAAGAATGACGTGTTCATCGGCTATGTATAGTGACACAGCGACATTAACGTTAAAGTATCACATATGGTGCATCGTGATACGCCTCGGCGCGCCGAGGTGTCCGCAAAAATCATTCGGAGAACCGTTCGGCGGGGGTGGGTTTCTCCCGAACGGAATCGAAATTCGACGGGCAAAGGACCTCGCAAACGCTCTCGCAATTTCGTGTTCCGTGATCGTTTGCGGGGGTAATTCGAGGGTTTGCCTCGACGGAAATTCTTGCGTCGGGAACGCGCGAGGATCGGAAATATCAATATCGCATCGAGAAAGGTTCACGAGTGTTTCGCGGCACGGCTCGAGTGAATCGATCGCAAACAAGTTCGAGTTGAATAATAAAGCCGCGTTGAAGCGTAATTAAGCCGAATTTCCGTTTTGCCGCGAAACACGATTGACTCGCTACAATACTTCTTTTAGAATCTCTTCGTATGGATTCAAACGAAAAGGGAGCATCTTTCTAAATATTAATAAATATAAAAAAGATATGGAAGAAATAATGACGTAAACGTCTTGGTAAGGTCTAATTTTATTCGAGAACTTTATAAAATATCTCTCTCTTCTCTATTTCTATTTTTGGAATTTCTATTTTTAGGAACTCTGATTTTTAGGTCATTCTCGAGCGGGCATTTTTGTTTCTTCATTTTTGTTTCTTTTACTTTCGGGCGGGAAACGAAACGTTGCGTTTGCGGATCTTATATTGCCTTTTTGAAATAAATATCATCACTATCGAGCGAGCAGCCAATGATCCAAATGCGGAACGGTGAAACGTCAACGCGGCTG